AGTCATCAATGAAAAGGTCTTATTGTGTTCAAACATCTAAAAAGGAAAAGGGATAGAATCATAGGAGCATTTTTATAAAATGATTCCAGGCAAATACATAAAAGGTAAACATTATGATTCAGAGGTATGTGTTCAGGGCACATTTGGTTAACTTAACCTTTCATCACAGGGAAAAAATTTTCAACTAATCACTTTTGATATATTAAGCCAGATAATTCTTTACTGCAAGGGCATTTCTGCATATCAAACAATGTTAAAAGCTACTTGGACTGTGTCTTCTAGTAACCAATATCATCATGCCACTAATTTAAGATAATTAAAAATGTCCTCAGGCATTTAAAATGTTTCCTGGGGCACAAAATACCCCCAGTTAAAAATCATCATCCTGGAAAAATATAATCAACAGTAGACAAATATATTTTATTTAATTGCATGGTCACCATATACATGGCCTGCAAAGTGAAGAATAAAATCTCTTTATCCTTTTTGTCTCAGCACATAGCAGTTTGAACTTAGGTCAGATGGGAAGAACCTCATGACAGATGGTTTTCTGGTCTTGAGATGATCCCTATTCAGAGTTCAGGAATGGCTACTGAAGTGCATTAGGCTTGACCTCTTTAATGTATACTCATTCATACAGCCTTAAGTGCTTTTGTAAATCATGGAATTCATGGTAGAAAATGTTCCAAATAGAGCCAGAACTCTTCAGACTATGCAACCTTATCACCTCCTAACATCCTTAAAAGCACGTACAATATCAGGAATGATAAGCTGAATACTTAAACGTAGTAAATGAACCAGCCTGCCTCCATCTTAATCTTGAAAGCCATCTTATAATAAAAACAAACTCAATTCATTCTTGTTTAAGGTTAAACCTATTTCTCTAGAATTGGGCTATGTCCCACCTGTAACCTTAACTACAAATGGTTCTGTGCTGCCTGTTCCAGGAAATGGCAACCATGCCTTTGTTTCAAAAGTTGTTATAACCATCTCGAAACCCTTCCTTTGTTTCAAAGGTTATTGTAACCACCTATTGTTAAGACTACCTTGTTATGACCACTTTATTATGTTCTGCTTCTATTATCCCACCTATTTGCCAGCCAAATTCCCAATTTATAAAACCTTTACCTTGAACTATAAAAACCTTATATTCCCTATGTCTAAGGCTGACCACTTATGCCTTAGGGTGAGGCAGCCTGTGTACACAAATAAAAAAAGCTTGCTTTAATTAATTACTTGTTTTAATTATTGTGGCCATAATGATTTGAGTTAGTGTTCTTTCTCCTCACATCTTTGGGATTACCATAGGCTAATGACCATTTTCAGTAATAAATAATTTTAAATAATAAATAAATAAATTGGGCCCTAGGTGTCAGAATCCCAAAGAAGACATACCCCTATTTATGCCTACACATATTCATATTTATAGATTTTGCTCCGTGTCTGTAGTTTTCTCAGTGAATGGCTCATAGTCTTGACTTTTTCAACATGTTTTGGACTTCATTACAACATGTACTTTATTTTCATAGCTTTGTACATTGGCCTGGCAGGGCCTCCCTGGAGGGACTCTGACCCTGCTACATGTTTCATGGCTCCAGAGGCCCTCTGAAGCCATTGAGCAAGACTCCATGACTGCTCAATCTCTCATTTTCCATGCTTGCAAAAGCAGTACCACATGGACTGCACTGCTCACTTCTGCTGTCAGTGCAGGATAGAGAATGGCTCCATTGGACCACAGTTGTATCAGGTTCTGCTGAACCTGAGTAATACTTCCCTAGGTAGATGCTTTTGCTCAGAGGAGGTATTCTCTTCTAGGCATTCAACTTAATTTGCATTTTCAGAAGTGAGAGCCTCTGGTGGGTGGGGTCTTATTCTTAGGGAAGACATTCTATTGTCTCAGTGCAGAACCAGAGGAGGTTTCTCTTTAATGGAAATAATCTATTTAACAATTACAAATCCTTTCTCATCTGTACTCGCCTTATTCACAACTTAAACTTACCCATACACCTTTCCTTGTCAAACTTCATTATATTTCTTTTTGCTTCACACACATGAAAGGTGAGGTAATATATCTTCATCAGACCTGTTCTGTAAGAAAGGCTAAAGAAGCCAGGCATAGTGGCTTCTTTAATCCCAGCAGAGGCAGAAGCAAGCAGATCTCTGTGAGTTTGAGGCCAGCCTGAACTACAAAGTGAGTTTTGAGACAGCCAGGGCTGTTACACAGAGAAACCCTGTCCCCCCCCAAAAAAAAAAAGTGATGTTTGTGGAACCAAAATAAGACCAAAATGCTCTCACCCCAAAACTAAAGGCCTAAGACTGTAAAGGCCTAAGACTCCTCCTTTTAGCTACAGGCCATAAGTTACTGGAACAGGCCAGAAGTTACTGAGACCAGTCAGTTCAGATTCCAGAAACCAGGAAGTGTAAAAGTACAGAGTCACAAGG